CCCCCCCAGCAGCCCCAGTGTTATGGATCAGATGCTGGGCTGGGTGGCCAGACCGGAAGTGCTCCCCTCCCCCCTCTGTGTGCTTATGTAAACGGAGAAGCAGAGAAAGAGAGAGGGGAGAGCTATTTTTAACCCAGGCAGGCTGCAGAAGGAGAAAGAATGAGCGAGTGTGTTAGGAGAGAGACAACTTCAGCATTATTGATGAAGGTTGTTGGCATTAAATGAAAATGTCAAACCTGGATCAGCGCTGGAAAAACTCGAGGCCACACAATACACCCCCGTTTCTCCCTTCTTTAAAACAAACACATTTTGTCATGCCATTAGTTTCATGGTAGAATAAAAAAGGGAAGATGAAGTTGACGGGCGGTGATGCTTTTTTGTCTGATGAGAAGTAGTTTAGTGAAGCTTCCCTGACCGTTTCTGCCTCGTCATGCTCCTACACTATCATGTGTTTTTGTTGTTTTTGATCAACTCTTCCTGACACCTTATATGGTCACACACTTTGTTTTCAAGGATGTTGTTGTCCTTGATTACATGTGGATCTGTTGTGTTCGGTCTGCTGAAGACGATTCATGTATAAAGTCCAAACAAACGGGACTATGTCGCTAACAGGACGGAGGCCAAAGCGTTTGTTTTGCCTCAGAAAGAAAGGCCTGACAAACCAGGTTTGTAGGTCTCATCCATATTGAGAGAACGTTGTAAACTTTGTCTTTAAACATTCTGGCTACTCTCCCTGATTGTAAATCACTACTGAGACTCTAAAAATAAGTGGTTTCTTTTCAAGAGTCATGCATAATTGACATAAATAAAAACATGATCATCTGTAAATATAAGTCTACCAACCTTTCCTTTTTTTTATATATATATATTTGATCAATTACATATTTTTTAATTGAGTGATTTAAAATGGACAAGACATGCTGTCGAGCTGTAATATGTTGGTTAATCCCAAAATGTATTTTAACATGATGCATGAATTACATATTTAACATGAAAACATTTATGACTGTGGCTGCTTTGACTTAACAGATTCAGAACTGGTTGACAAATACATGTGGTTTTTAAATAATTGAAAATGATTTTAAACTTTGTAGACAGATTCTGTTTGGGGGCACCGCACCAACAAAAATTAATTGAATTAAAATTTAAATAAATTAAATAAAAAATTTAATTAAATATAACATTTTTTTTTTTTAGATCTATTTGTGGCGGACGATATTTAATTGTGGCGGCCCATCACAAATGAATCAATGTATGGGAAACACTGCAATTATATACACTGAGTAAAATAAATATATACCATATGTTCTTTATCGATTGATTATTTAAGTTATTTTTTCCTAACAAAAATATAAGAAAGTTCTTAGTTCCAGACAAAAAATAATTTGGCACATAACCCACCCAAAAAACCACAATAGCTTTGCTTATACACTTTGTTCATTGTAAGAAATAAACAAACAAGGTGACATGTTGTAATTAGTGAGCTTTGGAGGTACTATAGGCAGATTTTGTACCTCTTGGACAGCCACGCTAGCGGTTTTGCTCTGTTTTCAAAGTTAATGCTAAGCTAAAAAGCTGATGGCATAACATAAGTGATTTTGTCGTTGACGTTACCATCGCACTGTAAAACATGTTTAATGTTAAGCTGGTTAAAGTTCTGTGTTTGTTTGACCCATCTATCCAATCCTCCTCCCTACGCTAAAGCAAATATATTAAATCATTTGACAAGAAATGCATACATTACATTTAGCTGACGCTTTTATCAAAAGTGACATACAACAACAAGTGCCTTCAACCACAAAGAAAGAAACTCCAGAGCGAATGGTCTCATTTTGAGAATACAGCTCATCAACATACTCTCTGTCCAGCTGATTCATCAGAAAGTCATTTATCAAGTACAAAGGCCCAACATTCGTTCATTGGAACCGGCTTGAATATGAAAAGTTGTTTCTTTACTTTGTTTTGTTTTGTTCAGCTCAAACACTCACAAATAAATAAATACAAATGTTAAGTTGTGGATATAACTATATGTCGACCCCTTAATAGAGTACATTTAGTTTAACTCTCATAAACCCAGCACAGCTTATAGACCTAGCAGTGGGTTTCCTGATTGTACTTTCTAGGCCTTACACCAAGTTATAATTAAAGGATTCAAACAAAGTGTATCCGACTTAATCAATTCATACACGGAAAGATCATATTTTTCAAAACTCTCCATAACCAGGTTTAGCAGAAAATTAAGAATAATATATTTTGATGAAAGAAGGAACATGACTGGACGTCCCTTACATTCAGTTTCTGGGTCTGTTTGTGACGCCTCGCTGTGATACCAGCTGCTATTTATTACCCTTTGATTCACTGAAATCTTGTCCCAGCCATAATGTGCCGTCCTGTGCAGCAGACCCCCTGATTTACTCCCCTCTCCCCTCTCTCTCCCCTCTCCCCTCTCTCTCACTGTGATGTGTAGTTTCTGCAGGGACAGAAAATGGCTTGGATTGAGTCTCTGACTCATCGCAAGGATGTAGAGGGAGAGAGAG